TTCTAAACTCTTTATGAGAGTTGGTCGGTTTTTTTGTTTTGTTTTTTTTTAAGATTTTATTTATTTATTAGACAGAGAGAGACACAGCGAGAGAGGGAACACAAGCAAGGGGAGTGGGAGAGGGAGAAGCAGGCCTCCCGCCAAGCAGGGAGCCCGATGCGGGGCTCGATCCCAGGACCCTGGAATCATGACCTGAGCTGAAGGCAGACGCTTAACGACTGAGCCACCCAGGCGCCCCGAGAGTTGGTCAGTTTTAAAAACAGGTGGACTGACCCATAGCATCCCCTCATGCAGACTGAAAGCTAATGGCAAGGGTCCTGGCCAAGGAACAAAGGTAGGAGTTTTAGGGACTTCTGGGGAACTGAGGTTTGCCTCTGAACATAATTAGGAGGTGTTGCTCTACAGGAGAGAAAGAAATGAGTAGGAACCAGAAAGCTTTTCTAAAGGAAAAAAGAATTGAGGAGAAAAGCTGATGTTTGCCAAGCCTATGAAAACAAAAAATGGCATAGACCAGAGATATGAGGCCCTCTATATTCACTCACTCCTTCATTTTCTCCTGCATTTATTAATCCATTCAATGAATGTTTGGTGCATTGTGCAGGCACTAAACTAAGTGCCAGGTGATGCAAGGATGAATGAGTCCCAGTGCTTGACTTTGAATAGGTCACATTATTCACACTACATGACCAAATGATATGGTGTTTGTGACAGTGCCTTGTAAATGGCACAACACTATAATGGGTTGGTTATCCTATCAATGCTTTATATAGTGACTGGCAAGGAGCAGATGCTCAAAAATGGCTGTTGAGTGAATGAAGGCAAGGGACTGAGACAACAAGCTGTGATATGTGAGAACTGGAGACTGTCATGGCTGGAAACTAAAAAGGGGATTGCGTGATTCCGTAAAATACCAAACAGGGCTCCTTGATTAATCCAGAGACTGGGAACTCTATGTTCTGATCCCTTCTCTTCTTATAACTATGTGACCTTGGGTTACTTAATCTTTCTGGGGTTGAGGCAAGGAGTGCAATCAAATATTAGACTACCACATTTGATGTGCTTTATGTGTGAATTGGGCTCCATCCTGAAGTTTGTTAAAGAAAGCAGCTGGAGTTAGAATAATACATTACTGATTCTCAGTTTTAAGTCCCTTCAAATCTCATGGAAGAAAACAGATAAAACTGTTGAACAAACATTTTGTTTTCTGTGTAGGAATGTGGTCATCTCAAATGGGAACCACTGGTTAAATTATAACCTTACGCTGGTGCTTACGTTAGCTTCTGTCTTTCACCTGTTGACCTTCAGGAAGCTGCAATGAGGATTTAGTATGTAATTTGGACATTAATTGGCTAATCAAGTTTTGAGACTTACTAGTTTTGTGAGATTTATAGTTGTGCCAAATTAATTCCCTCAAATTTTTTATATCATTAAGTGGCCATTAGCAGATATAAATATAATAAATAGCTTTCAAAGGTTGTTTGACCATCAAAGCCTGTATCATTCTTAATTTGTGCCAGGTTAGGGAAGAACTCCCAGAGTGAAATGTGGCCAGAAACCACAGTGCAGAGAAGTTTAACTGTTCTTCAGTTCCAGAATGAGTCAGAGAGGAGCCAAAATTTAATCTTACAATCTCATAAATGCTTTATGACTACAATTATTACTTGCAGCTATTAGGAGGTATAGACATGCACTACCATTGTGGAAACTGAGAAGTACTTCTAAGTTTTCCAACAGACAGATCATTTGGGCAATACATTTATCATAAGTGGTAAGAATCTATTTTCCATGAAAACATTTTGATATATTTCATTGTGTGATGAAAAAATGTTCCCTGCTGAAAAATGAGAAAATGTGGATAAACAAAACGGGAGAAAAACCGTCAAAATCCCATCTTGAAGGGAAAAACACACACATACTTTTAAAAATAAAAGAAAGGCATTATCCTAGTTGTAACTGGAAAAAATACACAGAATCTGAGATCAGAAGTCTACATTCATATTCCCATACTAGAAGAAAGAGCACCTGGAAAGGAGTGGAGGTGAAGGCTGACATTTTTAAAAATAAATTATAAATACATCAGATGCCTGGGTGGCTCAGCTGGTTAAGCGTCTGACTCTTGATTTCAGCTCAGGTCATGATCTCAGGGTCGTGAGATCAAGCCCTACATTGGACTCTGCACTGAGCATGGAGCCTGCTTAAGATTCTCTCTCTCCTTCTGCCCCTCCCCCCTTTAAAAAATTATAAATACAAAGGAAAATGAAAACTTCGGGAAAAAAAAAATCCTGATCTTAAGGCATGTTTAGTATGTTACTTCATATTGTATTTGTATGGTATTACTTGAGGCCAGAGAACTTGAGTTCCTATTTCCTGGGAGCATCAAAATTGAAGCTTCTATTTGTGCCTTTTGTCACAGACCTCTAACAACTATCTCATTCTTTCTCCCCATCCCAATTCTTTCTTCTCTTTGTCTTTCCTTTTCTCAAGATCTCCTTTTCCTCCTTAAGATTCTCTCTCTCTCCGGCGCCTGGGTGGCTCAGTCGTTAAGCGTCTGCCTTCGGCTCAGGTCATGATCCCAGGGTCCTGGGATCGAGTCCCACATCGGGTTCCCTCCTTGGCGGGAAGCCTGCTCTCCCTCTCCCACTCCCGCTGCTTGTGTTCCTGCTCTCGCTATCTCTGTCTCTGTCAAATAAATAAATGAAATCTTAAAAAAAAAAAAAAAAGATTCTCTCTCTCCCTCTGCCCCTCCCCCCTTTAAAAGTTTTTTCTTTTCTGTCCCTCTGCCCCATTTAATTCCAGTTACGTTGCTTATTCTTTTTTTTTTTTTTTAAGTAAGCTCCATGCCCAATGTGGGGCTTGAACTCACAACCCTGAAATTGAGAGCTGCATACTTTACTGACTGAGCCAGTTAGGCACCCCAAATTATTTTTATCTTATTATTATTATTTTTGGAAAGGGAGTGGGGAGGGGCAGAGGGAGAGAAAGAGAAAGGATCATAAGCAGATTCCATGTACAGTGTGGAGCCCAATGCGGGGCTTGATCTCACTTCCCTGAGATCATGACCTGAGCCAAAATCAAGAGTCAGACACTTAACCTCCTGAGCCATGTACAAGCTCTGACATGGAAGAAGTTCCTCCTTCTTTTGAGCCAGAATCTTTTCCCCTCTAACTCTGACCCATGGGTTTAATTCTATTCCTTAAGTCATGGAACAATACTAATTCTTTCTCCATATGACAGTCCTTCAATACCTGAATATAATCTTCACATTTACACGAGATTTTCCTCTCCTCCAGACTAAATCTCTCTGATCCTTAGGATTATTTGTCAAATGATGTCTTTTAGCTTTGTGGTTATCTGCTTCTGATTTTTCTTTGTTCTCTGTGTCCTTGATTCATTTGAAGAGGAATGCCCAGGACTGACTGAATGCATCAGGGTGGAGGGGTACTATTACCTTGCTCATTAGATCAAGGCTGTCCAACAGAACTTTCTGTTATGATGGAAATATTCTACTTTTGTGCTGTCTGATATGGGAGTCTAACTAGCCACATGTAGTTATTGGGCATCTGAACTGTGACTAATGAGAAACTGAATTTTAAATTTTACCTAGCTTTAATTATTTTAAGCTTAAATAGCTCTTAACATAGAAATAAGAAATTTTGTCTCTATACATGAAGACAGGAGAAGTATTAGGAGGTTCTGAGGGAAGGCCATGATGAGGATCAGGAGCCCTGGAGTGTCGCTATCATGCCATCGATGTATGTGTATTCATGGAGTAGTCAAAACACAGTTATTTCCTGTCCCCCAGCATCAGTTATAAGATGAGAGCATTGGATTGGATCAGTGTTTTTCAAACCTCAAATCCAAATTCATGAGTAGGTTGTAAAATCAATTTAGAATTTTCACCAGCAGGTTGTGAAAATTAATAAAGGGGAACCTTATTTTAAAAATGGAGTCAGGGGGCGCCTGGATGGCTCAGACTGTTAAGCGTCTGCCTTTGGCTGAGGTCATGATCTCAGGGTCCTGGGATGGAGGGCCCCCCGCCCCGGCTCAGCGGGGAGCCTGCTTCTCCCTCTCCCTGTGCCTGCAGCTCTCCCTGCTTGTGCTCTCTCTGTGTCAGGCAAATAAATAAAATTTTTAAAATCAATCATCAATCAATCAATTAATTTAAAAAATGGAGTCAGGAGACCAGCAGAAGCACTCATGCCTTACCACTCCTCCTCAGCCCCTTCCAGGCCCAAGACGAAGAAGCCTGTACTTTACTATCCCAGCAGGAGGAAGAAGTTTTTCCCGTTGCCTGGCAATAGCCCAGCCAATGAGAGGCTGTCACAACTCAGCCAATGAAAAGCCAGTTTACTCCAATGGCCTCTTTGTTGATAACAGCCCCTCCCAACTCCCCCCTTTCCTCTGTAAAAGAGTGTTGCTCTCTTTCGTTCGCTGGACTTGCCTGTGGTTTTGCCATAGCCTGTACATCCCAAATTGCGATTCTCTGCCATCCCTGAGTAAAGTCATTTGCTGGTAAAATAACTGGCTATTTATGTTTAAGGTTAGCAAGGTTTTTTAAAGATGAAATAAGATAGATCAGATTGGGATTTGGTTTTTGTTTTTGTTTTTTCATTTTTATTTTTTTAAGATTTTATTTATTTGTCAGAGAGAGACAGAGAGAGAAGGAGAGAGAGAGCACACAAGCATGGGAAGCCACAGGCAGAAGGAGAAGCAGGCTTCCCGCTGAGCAGGGAGCCCAAAGTGGGACTCCATCCCAGGACCCTGGAATCATGACCTGAGCCAAAGGCAGACGCTTAACTGACTGAGCCACCTAGGCATCCCCAGAACGTGATTTGTAAATATTGTTTTGTTAAACTTTTGTTCCAATTTGTGTGTGTGTGTGTGTGTTTCTAACTGTGGATTACAGTAAAAAATGTTTTAAAAACATAGGAATTGTTTTTAAACATGACTCCTGAGGTTTCTTCAGCCTGGTGTTTTACGTTTCCCTGTGTCTGCAACAGGTATTCCTTAGGGCATTACTTCCATGGTGATTTGGGAGAGTAAGTTTCCATGATGCCACCCCCACACGCTCAACCCAAGCGAGCAGTCTCCGTATTGAGACCATGACATGCACAGACCCTCAGAAGGTGAGGAGAGGTGAGATGTAACTGTGAGTCATGTTGTTAAATGTCGTTGCTGATTCCATGACAACTTGAGGGCTTTTATATGCATGGACAAGACTTCTTGCACATTGCAGCCCCTTTGGTTTCACTCTGATGTTTAGAAGAGATTCTTGCTTTAAGCAGGAAATTGAACAAAATAATAGATCCCTACTCTAATACTGTATGATTCCACGAGTACAAAATTTCAGTAAATACTTAAAACTAAGGACATTCTTCCAGCAACAATAATGACATCAGTCTCTCTGCAGTGAGGCACGGGGCACAGGGGCTATCATCCCACTCCATCTCAACAGTCCTGGGGCCTTAGGTCGCAGCTTTTGAGAGGCTGAGCCCGGACTTGAGTTCAAATCTCCTTCCTCCAAAACTCTCTCGAATTCTGCTGTACCACATGGACAGGGATTATTGTTATCAAATTTAAATTGTCAAATATATTTTTTCTTCTTATGACAGTAAATTTGATAGCGCTAAGTACACTTCAACAAACATTAGCAGGGCCTGTGCTAAAGGTATGATGCTGCGCTCAAGAGATTTTTGTTGAGGGGCGTCTGGGTGGCTCGGTCGTTAAGCGTCTGCCTGCGGCTCAGGTCATGATCCTGGGGTCCTGGGATCGAGCCCCGCATCGGGCTCCCTGTTCTGCGGGAAGCCTGCTTCTCCCTCTCCCACTCCTCCTGCTGTGTTCCTTCTCTCACTGTGTCTCTCTCTGTCAAATAAATAAATAAAATCTTTATAAAAAAATAGAAAGAGAGAGAGAAAGAAAAAGAAAAAGAAGAGAGAAAGAAAGAAAGAAAGAAAGAAAGAAAGAAAGAAAGAAAGAAAGAAAGAAAGAAAGGATTTCCTCCAAATACCTTTAGTGATACTAAAATATATTGTGATAAGCTGTAGCATGGTGTAATGCTGGAAAGATGGAGTGTGTGGGCTGGGTGGATTGGGGTTGGTTGCTGAGGAATTGTGTTTGGGTCTCCAGCACTGATCTGCAGATAGGCTCTTGACAGCAAGTACCTGGAACAAGGCAATACACATGGTGAAGTGACAGAAGCCCATTTTCTGATTCCAAGTATTCTTGCTATAATAGCCTGTGTCCTCTATGGTGGAATTAGAGAGGATCAGGGTAGCCTAGGCTTGAACACATTTTCTCTGAAGATTATTCAACCTTCTCAACCTGGCTTAAGATCCCCTAACAGGCTTTTGATAGTAATAGGTTTTGTGATGCAGGTTTTTCCCTCTGGGAAAACAAGGCACTGTGCAACCCATAAGAATATCCAAGTTGGCCTGAAAGTATATGAAATTACATTTAAAAACTATATCCCAGGTTCTTAATTAGTTTTACTATGGATTTACTTTGATTGAGTCCCTCTCTAGAAGACAAATGACCCTAGTGAGGGGAAATAATTGAATTCTGGAACACAAAGAGCTGAAGACCAGACTCTGGACCCACACTGCACCCACTAGGGTGCAGGTGTTCAGACTCTAGCCTGAGCAATACCCAGCAAGCCCCAGGTCAGTCTCTGCCCTGTCCTACAGAACACCACAGCACAGAGTTTGAGAAGGCTGAAGGAACAGTCAATAGCATAAAAAGGGATGCACAATATTTTGCTTTTAAAGACACTTTTTTTGAGAACCAAATATTTGAAGACAAGTTGTTGTGTTAAAAGTTGTTGCAGTAGAAAAAAAGAAAATGTTGACGTTTTCAGTTAGAAATGTGAACTGCGTAAACGTATACACACAGTAAAAACTTACCCATTTAAGCTGTAGAATTAGGATCTAACATATGCTGTAAAATGATAAAAGTTTTTATTAGGCTTGTATTAATTATCTTAATCTAGTGGAGCTTGCTTTACTGTCAAAGTTAGACTGAAATGAAAATAACCCTTTAATTTTAATTGAAGCACTATATTTAAATTCCTCCAGATTTCTCAAAAATGTAATACACTGGAGTGGTGGGATCAGATAACTATATAAACTTGATTGCCATTTACTATATTAGCAATAACGAGTTAGAAGTTCTCATGGAAAAAATTCATTCACAAAAGCAAGGACAACATGGAATGAAATGCCTGGGACTAATTCTAGCAAGAAATGTATGGGACCTATATGGAGAAATACCCATAAACAGCAATAAGAAAAACATCAATTTCCCTGTGGGAAAATGTGGAGAATAACTAGAGATGATTTATGAAAAAGGATACACAGGTGGTCAATAAATATGATCTTTCTCACTCATAACCATAAATCTGAAACATAAACTAACATTGAGATTTCATTTTAATCCTAACTTGGCAGGATTTAAAAGTAATCATATTATTCAATACTTTCTGAGGCACACTAATGTGGGTATTCTCTCACTCTTTTTTTATAAGATTTTATTTTTAAGTAATCTCTACACCCAATGTGGGGCTTGAGCTCACAACCCTGAGATCAAGAATTGCATGCTCCACCAACTGAGCCAGCCCGGCGCCCCTAATGTGGGCATTCTTATGTAGCATTGGTGACAGTGTGAATTGATAAAGTTGCTTTAAAATTTCCTGGGATAGAGCCCCATGCTGGGCTCCCAGCTCACTGGGGAATCTGCTCCTCCCTCTCCTTCTGCCTCTCCCCCAGCTTGTGCTCTCTCTCTCTCTCTGTTTCTGTCTCAAATGAATAAATAAAATCTTTCAAAAATTTAGCAGTGTATTAAGAGCCTTAAAGTATTCATAGGCTTTTTGCCAGTAATCCCACATCTAGAGCTCTATCCTAAAAAATTATCGAGATGCAGACAAAGATTTGTGTGTAAGGATGTTTACTGCAGCATTATTTATAATAGTGAAAACCTGAAATAACAGATACATGCAGTGGTAGGAAATGATTAAATAAATTATGGTCCATCTCTATAGTAGAATACTTTATAGCCACCAAATATCATATTTTTGAAGAATATTTTTTAAAAAAATCTATTTATTTTAGAGAGAGAGATTGAACGAGCATGAGCAGGAGAGGGAGAGAGAATTTCAAGCAGACTCCACACTAAGCACGGAGCCCTATGTGGGGCTCAATTCCACAACCCTGAGATCATGACATGAGCTGAAACCAAGAGTCAGACATGTAGCTGACTGGGCCACCCAGGTGATCCAAAGAATATTTAATAATATGGGAAATTATTTGTGATATGAGGGTTAAATGAAGAAAATGCAAGATATAAAATTGTGCTTTATGATGTATATTAGTTTACTAGGACTTCCATAACAAAATATCACAATCTGGGGTGCTCAAACAACACAAAATTTTCTCACAGCTCTGGAAGCTAGAAGTCCAAGATCAAGGTGTCAGCAGGTTTGGTTTCTTCTGAGACCATTCTCTTTGGCTCACAAATGATTCCCTTCTCCTTTATCTTCACATTGGCCTTTCCCTGGTGTCTCTCATTTTATGTCCTAATCTTTTCTTAGAAAAACACCAGTTAGGGATGCCTGGGTATCCCAGTTGGGTAAGCCTCTGACTCTTGGTTTCAGTTCAGGTTGTGATCTCAGGGTCGTGAGAGTGAGCCCTGCATTGGGCTCTGTGCTCAGTGGGTAGTCTCCTTGGGCTTGTCTCTGTCACCATTCAGAAAAGGGGAAAGGAAGTCATTTCAAAAGCAGGGTCTACAGGATGTCAGGCATAGAGTTGTTTATACCTGTTCTTTAAACAAGGAGCTGGTCTTAAGCCTGGAGAACAGAGTTTGGGCAGAGATAGTGTAGAAGATGAATTGGTGGAGGCAGAGATTTCGGCAGCAAGACTAGTTAGGAGGTCATTTTGGTGGTCCATGTGAAATGATAAGGAATCATTAGGGAACCACAGCTAGATGGAACAGAGGGGGCCAGTCAGAAGACCTTCTGGAGCTGGAATTGGCAGGATTGTATTTGGGGGAACTAGATGTAGGGGAGGGAGAATTCTTCCTCTACTCTTCAAGTTCTTCCAGCTGGAGTAAGAATTCAATTTACATGAGACAGATTAACAGGAGAAAGAAAGCACTTTTATTATGTGCACTTGGAGGCCCAATAACGAAATTGAGATCTAAAGAAATGACCAAGGCAGGCAGTTTTTATACATTTTAGACAAAGAGACAAATTTGTGAGGAATTTACAGGATAAGGAAAAGAGGTGTTTGGGATTTTTAATTAGAAAGGAATTCTAAGTGGAATTTGGGCTGAGGTAGTGGATTAGTAAAAAGTAAAAGGTTTTCTTTTATGGCTTCTCAACTTTAAAGTCCCTATCTCTGGTGACAAGGGTTTTTTTTTTAACTTCTTTGTATAGGGTGGGTATTTTTCATGTGGGAGATTTATTTCCTCCTTTCAGGGAGACAGAGGAGGGTCTGAGTGTGCTTGCACCACTCCTTCCTAAGTAGCTTCAAATCAAAATAATCAACATGCCCTGAGGGTACATGTGAGGGCAGCCTGCCCTGGGCCCCTACCTAGGGTAGAGGTATATAAAGGAGGAGCCCTAGTTTATTAGCCTAGATTTGGGAGGATTAGGGGATTCTAGGGGAGGAGTAGATTGAGGAGATTTTTAAAAGAGGTGAGGAAGTGGAGGTCAGAGAGTTGATTCAGTGTCATTTATAAAGTGCAGTTTTAAGCATTAAAATCCTCATTTATCATTTGTACAAGTCAGTGTTGAATCTCTGTGCATGTGTTTTTTTTTGTTTTTTTTTTTAAGATTTTATTTATTTATTTGACAGAGACACAATGAGAGAGGGAACACAAGCAGGGGGAGTGGGAGAGGGAGAAGCAGACTTCCCGCTGAGCAGAGAGCATGATGTGGGGCTCGGTCCCAGGACCCTGGGATCATGACCTGATCCGAAGGCAGACGCTTAATGACTGAGCCACCCAGGCACCCCTGTGCATGTGTTTTTAATCAAAGCATTCACAAAAAGATTTCTAGGTCACATATCTGTGTATGCATATTTAAATTTGATTTTATTGTAGCAGTTCCCAACTTCCTACCAAATAATCACTATGATAGTA